GAAGAGCCAGTGCTGTCCAAAGACGTTTCCGTGGTCATGTAGCCGGCATGACTAAACACCAAGGCGCACGGAACGCTGTTCCCTCCCCACCAAAGTGGTCCGCTCGCCCCTGGCTTCAGTACCGGGTGAGGGGGGAAGAGGAGCTGGGGGGGAGATGGAGGGGGGTGGAGGACAGGGGGGAACCAGCAGGATGGGGGGGTACTTCCCTCCTCCTGCTGCTTCCTCCTCTGCCTCCCCCCCCGCGAGTATCGCGGGTCCCCCCTTGTTCCATTCTAATCATAGAGTATCTCCTTATTTGCTTACTATTTGAACAAACACTAGGCATGTTCTGCCATACCTTTAAAATACCTTTAGGTTCAGAGTGGTAAATTAGCTGTTAAATCTGGTTGTGATTCAAAAGTATTTTGAGCAACTAGTGGTCTGTGTGGTCGTTTCACGACCTCTCATGCATGAGACAGAAATATCTGGCTAAGGCTGGAATCCTAAGAACACTTTCCTGTGAGTAAGCCCCATTGAATAAAATTGGATTTATTTCTTAGTAGACCTTGCTTGTGCCCTCTAATACCCTTGTGTCACACATTCCTTTAATCATAGTGAGCGGGAAATAACCACCTCCATCAGACTGCCTACAGCAGTTACTCCAGTCCAAATCCATTGATTTCAGTGGGCTTAGATTGATACAACTCTGAATAGGATTGCACTGCTAGTGAAGGAATCAAGATTATGCTGATACTTTTTAACCACTTATATATCAATGTACACATTGCATTACAGAGTAACTATAAGCAAGAAGAAAATCTAAATGCTGATGATCAAAGGTATGTGTAAATTTTACTGGAATCAGGCAGCTAGTTTTATCCTAGAGGTGAACTTTTTAAATTCCTGATTTTTGTAGCTGAGTCATATGTCTTTGTTCCATCCATTCTCAGTGTGGAGCAAATGCACTAGATTCACCTGGAATGGGGAGCCGCAGTTAAAGGAAGTCTGCCTTCTGTTCAGATACAAGGAACAAAGTAAAACACGTTTAATTTGGTCTAATTTCTGTGTATTAGTCCACAGTCAGACATGCCTTTAGATCCGACTCAGCTGCACAATCAGACAACAACATCTGGGAAAGGTCCCACAGTTGTCGGCACCCTGTGCTGCCTCACCATGGAAGCAAAGCTAAAAGATACTGGGGAATCTTTGCCAATGGGCCACAGACATACTTTCCCCTGTTTGCTCAAGCACACACTCAAGCTGTCGGGATGGTCTGCTCATTCCATCCCAACTCAATGCCATTTCCCCCCCTCGCTTAGCAGTATGCGCATAACTGCATACTCCATGGGGAACCCTCTGGGTGGAGGTGCAATTCCTCATTTATGCGCATGGGAAACAGAAGGCAACCCCCCCTGCACACTTACCTGAAGATGCCCTCTGATCGTGCAGTGACGGGCTGAGCCTGAAGCTACAAAGGATGTGTGCTTGCGTAACACTGTGTCAATTTCAACCGGGGGAAATAGGGTCCCTTCCCCTCCACACCAAATGGCAAGTCTGATCTCAGCCTTAGGAAAAGTGATGTGTCAAGAGATACTTAAAAGACAAGGGATATGTTGGAAGTAGACAAGTTTGGCTAAAAATGCATTGTTAAGGCAGAACTTTGCATAGGGTGACATAGCAGTGAGTTATGAATGCAAATGAATAATATTTCAAGAGAGGCCTTGCATTTTCTAGCTGTTGAGATTGCAGATAGTAAAAGATATGTAGTCCATACCATGGGACAAGTTGTCAGCTTTTGTCTGTTCTGCTTGGTGGGAGAGTTCTGCATTTGATCATGGAACCCGGCTGATTCTTGTAAAGCTTCTGTGTCCACCACAGTGTGCAAGGATACTGAGTTAGCGCACTCTTCAGAAGTTGACTGGGGCATATTTAGTCATCGGGTTGATCGCAGTTCAGATCTTCCCGTGAGTGTGAAAGCTCTTACTCTGCTATGGTTAAAA